GCCAGGTGCTCAGAAACCATGGTTCAGCAGAGCCTCCAAGGAACAGGCAAGGGTTGTTTTCCAGTTTTTCCTGGAGCAGCTGGACTCAGAAACAGTTGCTGATCTGTAGCAGCATGGGCGACAGCTTTAGCAGTGCACCAGTGCTATAAAAGAAGCCTTTGCACGAAACAGAACATCAGAAATACAGGCAGGCTTCCCTGTTCATGGGTGTTATACACAGAGATCAGGGAGCTGCTGCAGAGGCAGCTGCTTTTCCCCTTGCAGGAGGGCAGTTTCCTGGGTCCTCTGTGTGTGTCTGTGTGTCCATGCACACGTGCTGCTCCAGAGGGGAGACCATGGCTTGAATGGAGCAGCTGGTGCCCTTGCTTGTGCAGTGTAGAAGGATTTAGCCTGCTCTTTTCTCTCTTGGTTTTGGTGGTAGAGGCTGTTGGTTTCTGATTTTGCTGTGAAAAGTCTTGCAAGTCATCAAATACTTCCGGGGGTATTGTCTGGATCCCAGTTCACTTAACTAAGAGCAGTATTTTCTTTAAAGTCAGGTTCAAACTGCTTCACCTGGAAGACCCAAGGGCCAGAGTGAAAACTGTCCTGTGATGTGCAGAGCAGTGTTTTGTTTAAAAATATGCTTGAACCTAACTAATAAACCACCACCAAAGACACTGGTTAGAATCTCTGATTGCCTTAAAGCAGGGCTTAAAAACTGTGTGAGAGAGTCAGTGAGGAGCACGGTAGCTGTGTGGCAGAAGGCAGCCAGAGGTTGGCCTGGCTGGGCTGAGCATGTTCCCTGTGCTGAGGCAAACACTGTGTGGGAGAGGGACAAAGTGCCCAAAGGCAGCAGGATCATTCCAGCAGTGAGGACTCCGCAGTGACCTTCAGTTCCCTCCCAAGGAGCTTAAGCAAGGAAGCCTCAGTTTGGCTCTGATTGCTCCTTGGAGGGTTCCATTACACACCAGGAGCTCCTCTGGCATGTCACCAGCAGAGGCTGACAGACCCTTCTCCAGCTCTGTCCCATCCTCTCAGAAGAACACAGTGGAGCATTGGTGGCAACTACCATCAAGTGCCCAAGCAGGGCCAAGGCAGCACAGCCTGCATGTGAGAGGGGCCTTGCTCATCATCACATGTTTTCTGTATGACAGAGCCACAGCCACTTCTTAGCTGGCAGAGAGATGTTATCACTTCCATTGTCCCCACATCCTCCTTTCAGAGCTCTGTTCTGTCGTGGTGCACGGGGGTATTTCCATCCCCTGTTGTGAGTAATTATTTCCTGGAAGACAGCGAAGCTCCATCACTTGGGGAAACACCCTGCATGGACACGTGAAGCACAGGGCAGACCTCAGTGCAGAACCACAGAGCCCTGAGCCTTTCAGAAGTGTCTGGGGCTTTCAGGTGTTTGAGGACCAGAAGCCTCCAGGAGGACAGACAGGACACACTGGGGAAGGGGCACTTCCAGAAGAAACCAGACACGGAGAGCAACAAAGTCTCAGCTCAAAGGGGAGGCCTCTGCCTATCTATGGGAATGGTGCTGAAGTTCTTTCACACTGGTTGTTATGCTTATTTTTGTTAATTAACATAAGACAGAATTTAAAGCAGCCTGGATTTAGGTGTGAGGCCGAGCCTGTCTCCTGCTTGCTTTCTCGATGCCCAGCCTGCTTGGGGCTTCTGGCTCACAGGGTGACCTGTGCTGCTTGCTGGAAGACATCTGGCAGAAAAACACATCTGGATCTTGGCAAATGCAAACACCTGCATCTTACAAGGCCTTGGCCAGGGAGGGATAAGACAGGAAGGTGGAGCACTGCTGGACAGCTGCAGGCTACTGTCCTGCCTGTCCTTCTCCCTGCTGGGGAGATGGTTCAGTTCATACTTGGAATCATTGGATAAAGGGCCCCCACTGCTGTGCCAGCCATGGGAGCATATCCCAAGAGCATCTTTCATCTGATGTTACACAGCAGCTTGACAGTGACCCTCCGGGAATTCTGGCTCCTGTAGCAGGGGGGAAAGGAGCTCTGCCTTTCCATGGTTTGCAGGTGGTGGATCTCAGAAGGGGGGTGTGGCTTTTTGGCCATGACAGCAGGCAGGGGGCTTGCTGAAAGAGGAGTGTGGTCAAATGGACAGGTGGAAATCAGTTTGTACCTGGTACATCTGCCTGCCTTGAGGGCCATAGCTCTGCAGTGAGCCAGATGAGCTTCAGGTTCAGCAGACAGTGGGGTTCCAGGCACCACCATTTAGCTGTGCATCCTGTGCCTCTGTCAGGCAGTGCATAGGTTGTGCTTATTCTGTACTTGGAAAAGAGGAGAGGCACTAAAATAAACCTTACCTGTCTTGTGGCAGAGAATGACTTTCTCTTTACAAACCTGGAGCAGCTGGGGAAGGGCAAGGTGTTCACATGCTGCACTTTTCCTTCTTTCCTTGGTCTTCAGCCAGGTCAAGCTGAACTCCGGCTTTTCCAGTTCTGTCCCTGCATGTCCATGCAATGCCTGTGTATGTATCTTGGCAGCTTCAGTGCTGCTTCCACCCCCCATCTTCTTCATTTTTGTATTTAAAAGTGATGCAGAATTCTCCACTCAGCCAGTCTGGCCTCCTGCTGTACTTCCTTGGTGTTGGGATGGATCGCTCTTGTACTTGTTCTTCTCCATTGAAAATTCTCCATCAGAAATCCAGGTGGCTGCTTCACACCTACCTCAGCTCCCTTCTCCTCCAGACTGAAGAAGCCTCGTTCCTTCCACCACTCCTCACGGGATGTGTGACCCAGGCCTGTGACATTTTCATGGCTCTCCTAGGAACTCGTTCCAGTTTATTGATGTTTTTCTTGCACTGCAAGGCCTGAGCACAGCGTGACCTAACAAGTGCCAGGCAAAGGGAGCAATCCCTTCCTGGACCCTGCCAGGTGCATGTCTGTCCATGCAGCCCAGGACACTGATGCAGCCAGGACACGCTGCAGATGTTCAGCCTGTTTGTTGCCCCCCATGTCCATCTCAGCAGTTCCAGTCTGTCCCAGCCCTGGATTTCAGATTCAGTCCCAATCCTGTGGTTTCCTCTACCTTATCTCTCTTTTTACTGCCCCCGCTGCCGCCAGGCTCACCTGATAGGGGCTTTGCTTGTAATGGCAAAGAGCGAGGGGATTTAATGCAGAATTCAAAGAAAGAGGGAAATTCAGCAGAGATGCAAACCATTTGCAAATGCTGAGAATGTGGGAGAAGGCATTCACCCGTGTTGGAATGGGGCAAAAGCTTCTGGAAACTGAAAACCTGGATTTTCTATGAGGGACTTGTGCAGGTAATGAGGCAGGAAACCTTGTCTTGGGTGAAAGGTGTCGGGGAGGGCATCCAGTGAAGTACAGGGAGGTCAGATGATTCAAAACTCAAGGGGAGTTTGGGAACTGTAGATCCACGTGTTTGTGCATTGAATGGGAAAGAAGGTGGTGTCCTGAGGGGAAGGTAGCAGTAGCCAGGGCGCGTGAGGGAAGAGCCCCATGAGGGAAGAGCCCCGTGAGGGAAGAGCCCCATGAGGGAAGAGCCCCGTGAGGGAAGAGCCCCGTGAGGGACGAGCCCCATGAGGGAAGAGCCCCGTGAGGGACGAGCCCCGTGAGGGAAGAGCCCCATGCCACTGCAGACACTGCTGGGGGCTGGTGCTCGCAGGCCAGGCAGGGAAGCAGCCGCTGCCGCCTCCTCCTCCTCCTCCTCTGGGCACAAAGTGTTTATTTCAGGGCTCCTTGTGCCTGATGGTGGTCACAGAGACAGAGCAGGTGGGGGCCCCTCTTTGGCACACCCAGAGCTGAGTGAGTAGCTCCGAGGCAGCTCCAGGCAGTGTCAGGAGAGGTGACAGGAGAGGTGACACCTCCTTCTCCATTCCGGGGCTGCGGCAGCTCCTCCTGTGAAGAGCTTGTGCTCAGAGGAACCTTTGGCTGCCCTGTGTGATAGTTCTCATTAGCAAAGATCATATCAAACGCCTGTTGATTTTACACGTGCAGATTAACAGTAAATTTGGCATTCCTATTTCTTTTTTTTTTGGCTAACTTTTGGAAAGCATTCGCTAATGGTTGACATTAGGAAGTACTTCCGAAGGGCGGTTCCCTCTCTCCAAGACAGTCACCCCCACCCTGTGGATGCCTGTCCATACTCTGCCCTCTCGTGGGGGAAAGAATCGGAGCCCACACCTGTCCCACCGCCCAAGGGTTCCTTGGTTCCTCACCGCTGGAATTTGTGACGGCGGAGCCCAGCGGGTCCGTGTGTGTGCTGGGAGCGCTGCCCTGGGACGAGCTCTGCGGCAGGATGTAAAGGTCCTGTATTTGTTCAAAAAGCCAATATCTTCAAATTTTGAATTAAATTAATGCTTTCAACTCGGTATTTTCAATTTCGACAAATTAAACAGAATTGTCTTTGAAAGCAGAAAACAGCTGAGCGTGTTCACCTCAGTTCTCTTTCAGAGGTAAGAGTCCCGTATCTTTTATTCCAACAAAACTGTTTAATTTGTTCCTTTAGATCTGTCTGTCAAACATCATCAGACCCCACCCAAGAGACACTAAAGTTTTAATCTGTGGGGGAAAGTCCGTGAGCGCGGGGCTGAGCGGCCCTGCGGGGTCTGGGACCCGCGGGGACCCCGAGAAGCTCCCCCGGCCCTGAGGGACGGGCAGCTCCGCCGGACCCCCCGCTCCCTGTCCCCTCACACCGCACAAGGACCCCAATGAACCCCCCATCCCCTCAAACCGCACAAGGATCCCAATGACTCCCTCACACCGCACAACGACTCCCCCATCTCCTCAAACCACACAATTACTGCCTCCCCTCACACCGCACAATGTCCCCCCCATCCCCTCACACCGCACAATAACCCCCCCATCCCCTCACACCGCACAACGACCCCCCCATCCCCTCACACCGCACAATGACCCCCCCATCCCCTCA